GAAAGAAGTGCGATATCTTTGCATCCATCGTGGATAAGATTAAACAAAAATCACTCAACTGGATGAACAGGTTTCTATCAGGCGCGGGAAAGCAAGTTATGCTTAAAGCCGTGCTCGGTTCTATGCCATGCTATATGATGTCTTGCTTTAAGATCCCTCTTTCTCTATGTAAGCAGATTCAGTCTTTGTTGACACGCTATTGGTGGGACGCTAACCCGGAGAAGAGGAAGATGTGTTGGGTTGCTTGGTCAATTTTGACACTCCCAAAACACGCTGGAGGACTTGGATTTCGAGATATCGAATCCTTTAATGATGCGTTGCTAGAAAAGGTTGGATGGAGGATTTTGAAGGAGCCAAACTCGCTGTTGGCAAAAGTCCTACTTGGGAAATATGCAAAGCATTCATCCTTCCTACACTGCACGATACCAGCGGCTGCTTCACATGGGTGGAGAAGCATCATAGCAGGCAGGGACACTCTCCGTAGAAGGTTGAGTTGGGTGGTGGGAAATGGAGAAGCGATCAGGGTCTGGGACGACCCATGGCTCTCTTTCAATTCTCCGGTAAGACCTATTGGCCCTCCATCTTTAGGAGCACTCAACCGGAGAGTGAGTGATTTATTATGCCCATTAACGAACCAGTGGGACAGAGAAAAGATCAGACAGTACCTACCTCAGTATGAGGACACTATATTGCAAATAATAACAAGTTCAGCTCCTGCTTTAGACTCACTGGTCTGGCTGCCGGAGAAACAGGGAGTTTACTCAACTAAAACCGGTTATGGGCTGACGGTGATGGAGAAGAATGGAAATGTCCGTGATGATCATCAACTGGATTGGTTAAAACACATTTGGAATGTAGCCACTGCTCCTAAGCTCAAAGATTTCCTTTGGAAAATCATCAAAAAAAGCCATTCCAGTTAGTGAGAACTTAAGCAAACGTGGAATTCAGCCTTTCACCTGTAAAAGATGTGGAGCGTATGAGGACGATCTTCACGTGTTCTTAACGTGTCCTTTCGCAGAAGAGGTTTGGAATCTTCTTCCCCTGCGACTAAGACCTGCAACTAATACTCCCACCATGACTGCTCTGATCAAGGCAGGTAGTCTCCTTACTCCCTTACCACCGTCAGGATGTGTTACTCCACTCTGGCCATGGGTATTGTGGAATTTATGGAAGGCTAGGAACAAATTAATCTTTGAAAACAGAGTCTTCTCGGCTCAGGAAACGGCTACAAAATGCATTTTGGATGCCATGGAATGGAGCTTAACGCATAGCATCCCGGTTATAGGAAGTACAAGACTGCAGGCTCCATCTTCAAGTCGTCTTTCTCCCCCACCCTCGTTCGCACCAGAGATTCTCATCTGTAACGTGGATGCTGCCTGGAATGATGAATCAAAGGGCTGTGGTGTGGGAGGAGTTTTCTCTGGGAATAACCACCTAGCGCTACCAAACATTTGCGAAACAAGAAGTTTAGTATCATCAGCACTTATGGCATAGGCCATTGCTGTCCGTTTTGCTGTCCTCACAGCAGTCTACTCAAACGTTCGATCCCTGTCCGTTTTCTCTGATTCTCTCTCGCTCATCACTCTGTTGAAGAAAGGAGATAGTCAACCTGAACTGTTGGGTATCATGTTTGATATCTATCATGCTTTGTCGTATTTTGATGTTATCTCTTTCCATTTTATCTCTAGGAACTTTAATTGTGAGGCTGATATTGTGGCTAAATCAGCTCTTACTCTTCTGAATGTAAACTCTAGCGATGGAGCTTAACTCTTTCTATGAATGCAATGTTGTTTGATCAAAAAAAAAAAATTAAATCCGAAATAATCGCGGGTCGCCACGTGCCAGTGGGACCCGCGATTTGGGAAAACAACATTGCTTATTGTAGCAGTAGAAGAGGCATGGTTAATGAAAATGTTTAGACCCACCATTTTTATTGTTTTTCTTTTGTTGAAACCGAGGATAGCAACCAACGATATTAATGTTCTTAGAAAAAAATCCTTAGCCAAAAACTATTTTCATAATATATGGGATCCAAATTTTTTAAGAATTTGTGCCATCATAACCTCTTGCATGTCATAGCCAAGGATCAATTTACTACCGATTCGTCACTATGCGCAGGTTTCACCGTCACGTGGGATCCCATGATTGACTATGTTTTTTAAGTTGAAAAAATAAAAATCTCTATAATATTATTTGAGAAGTCAGTTTCCTATGTGTCGCTCTCACGTTCATTCTCACGATGGTTGATTACATTGATACCCTTAATTAATTAAAAATAGTTGAAAATAGTATTATTAATTCTTTTATTTTTAGTTTTTCCTTTTCTAAAATTTCCAAAAAGATATGTAATAAAAAAGCATCTTTTATAAAGTCATAAAAACAAAATTTAAAACGAAAATATATGTATAAATAATATGATTTCATAAAAAAAGGAAAGTTGACAAAATAGTAATAATACATTTAAAATATTTTTAAATAACATAAAAAATATGTATATATAATATAATTTCATTAAAAAGGAAAGTTCACAAAATAGTAATAATACATTTAAAAATATTTTTAAATAACATAAAATATAATTTTAGAGTAATAAAATAGTTTATAATTAGTATTATTGAATTTTATTTATTTTTTTATATATTTAGTTGACTATAATATCTTTAATTACAGAAAATTATCTAGAACTTATATTTTACTTATATAATATTATTTTCAAATACAATCACAATTTTGTGTAGTGCTTATTTTTAAGAGATATTAAAAACTAAAAATAAATTTAACAATAAACATTGTTTGGTCAAAATAATTGTTCTAATGAGCTAGATATATGATATTTTATCATTATTAAAATTATTTATTTTATTAATATTAATTGTTTTAAATTTTATTTTTTATGTTTGTGAAACTAAATATAACCATAATCAAAATATCAAAGCAAATCTGAATTCTCAATTTAAGATTATTTAAAATAAATTTCAGTTTACATTCAATAAATCTAAAGCATAAAGTTATTTAGAATTTATAAATGCATGTAACCTTTTATTGATCATATGATAAATCAAAACATATTAACAAATAATAATAAATACTAACCAACTCTTACAATTTTAGTTCTTTTGTAAAAATTTTATATATCCATGAGAATTGAGAATATTTTCGTTATACTAATTTACGTATTTTGGAATCAAACACTTTAGTTAATTTTTAATTCATTCTAAGCACAATATATCTTAAGTTATACATAATTTTCCTAAAATATATTTACATATCTAAGACAACACCCACCAAATGCAAATAAGTAACTAATTAAAATTTAATATATTTTAAAAATATTACAGTTGAATTCAGAGATGCAATCCAATTTATCCAAATGATAACTAAACCAACCGTAAAACAAAAAAATTGACTAGATATAATATATATAAAATTACAGTATAAGTAAAGAAATATAATATTATTAATATAAATGATGCATACAAATTATAAATTAATTAAAAATTAAAAGTAAATAATAATCAATTATTATTATATATTTAATTTAAAAATATTTATACCCGTGCATGAGCACGGGAAAATCACCTAGTAATAAAATAATATAAAAACTTACCTTGGTTATCGAGTCCATAGGGTTTGGCGTTACAGCTGCTCTAAGAGCATCTCCAAAAAGGAACTCTATTTTAGAGTTTCACAAACTCTATATTTGAAGTTTCAAAGTGATCTTCTCCAAAAGAAAAACTTCAAAACTAACTTCAAAATTATTTGTATATTACATTATAGTCCTTATATTTGTCACAATTAATGAAAATTCATAAAAGAATATAAATAACTAACACATATATTAAAATATTACATCAATATTAATTAATAAAATTTTACATTAAATACAAAACTAGAAATAGTAATACATAATTAAATATTAAACTACAAGCAAAATACCACATTATTCCATGAAATGATTGAATTACGAATGAAAAATGAAACAAAAAAGTTAGCTTTAAAAAAGTAAAAGAGAAAAAAAAATATTGCTAATCGGTGATATTAATACTCGTGAGTACATTCGTTCTGAAGAAAAAGAATCATACGAAAAAGATGTCAAGAAAGTCAAGAACAACCATTTTGATTACGAAAAATTTGTTTGGATTTGAAGATTTTGGAGCTTCCGGGACTTATTTACTAAATTATTAGTGTTGTTGTAATATTTATATTTCTATAATAATTACGTTTTCATGTACCTTTTTAAAAAATAATTTTGATTAAGTTTGTTTTGTGATATTCTTGTTGTCTAATTCTAATTTTAAAATAGTATAAATTTTATTTAATTTTTTAATTCAATTTTATGTGTAAAGCTTAATTTATAGAAATAAATTAAAGATTTGTGAAATATAATTTTTTAAAGATTAAAATGATAAATAAGAAAATACTTAAGAATCCTAAATAAGATATGTAAATATAAGGACAAAATTGCAAATAAAAAGATGAAACTTCAAATTTGAAGTTTTGAGAAGTGAAACTTCAAATATGAAGTTTCGCTCCCCAAAACTTCAAATTTGAAGTTTTGAAGTTTCTTTTTGGAGAGCAAAAAACTCTATATTTGAAGTTATAGAGAGTCTTTTGGAGATGCTCTAAGGGCACCCACAATGGTGTTACCCTCAAGAAGTCCTTAAATTTTAATTTTTTAATTATTATTTTTTTCGGATTTATAAAAAAAAAGTAAGTATCAACTATTCGTGGACCGACACGTGTCGTATGACCCGCAAATAGTATAAAGATTTATCTTTATTTAGAGATTTTAAAGATCAGATCTTTAATTTTTTTACGAGGTTCACTAATTATTTAGTTATTTCTTTCCTAATGATTCCCCGGACTTCCCATTGTGCTCTGATAAATCAAAGATGAAAGGAAACAGAATCGAATAAGAATAGGCCCATTTATATTGTACCGGCCCGTTACAATAGTCGAACACTTTCGTATTCTCACCAGTTCCTCGTCGTCGTCTTCCTCCCTCCTCTGGGTCTCCTTATTTCAGTAGCGAGATCTCGTCGAATTCTTCTCAAAATCTCCGGGAACCAGCTCGTCTATCCGATCAGTGTTCCAGAATCACTTGGATCGAAGATGCCGGTGGCAGCTTCCGCCATCTACTTTCTGAATCTCCGTGGCGATGTACTCATCAACCGCACTTACCGAGACGACGTCGGGTGGGAGATTACCTTCTCTTTTGCCTTCTGATTGGTTCCAGAGCTTTTCTATAATTCTATTTCATTTGATTTGTATAGAGGAAACATGGTGGATGCATTTCGAACGCATATAATGCAAACCAAGGAGTTAGGCAACTGTCCTGTGCGTCAGATTGGTGGCTGCTCCTTCGTTTACATGCGAATCAGTAATGTCTACATTGTAATTGTTGTTAGTAGCAATGCTAATGTAGCTTGTGGCTTCAAATTCGTTGTTGAGGTGAAATTTCATTCTCTAGTTCGAGTTCTAGAGATTAAAAAAGATCGAGTCTTTACGGACTCTGACTGGTTTTGGTATCGCAATTCAGGCTGTTGCTTTGTTCAAATCATACTTTGGTGGAGCTTTTGATGAAGACGCTATTAGGAATAACTTTGTTCTCATTTATGAATTGTTGGATGGTAAGTAAAGAAACATGATAGTGTGTTTTCTTTAACTAGTAACTACTATTCTCTTTTGCGGAATGCAATCATAATTTTTGATATGGAATTGCAGAGATTATGGACTTTGGCTATCCACAGAATCTCTCTCCTGAAATTTTGAAGCTTTATATTACTCAGGAAGGTGTACGCTCACCATTCTCATCCAAGGTAAAGGCATATATCTATGCATATGTCCGTAAAACAGATTTTTGAATTGTGTTGGTGTGTGGTGTTTGCAAGTGAACCTTCTTTGCTTTATACGTTTCGATTAGTGAGCCTCTTGTCTTTACAGCCCAAGGACAAACCTGTTCCAAATGCAACGTTACAAGTTACGGGTGCTGTTGGTTGGAGAAGAGAGGGCCTTTCTTATAAGAAGAATGAGGTACGAGTTGAGTTTTATTTTCATTCTGTTTATCTTTTGCTAGGTAGTGCGAAAGTGGTCATATTATGCATTCTTCTCACTAATGCAGGTGTTTCTGGATATTGTGGAAAGTGTAAACCTTCTCATGTCCTCTAAAGGTAAAATATTACCTTTTGAAGGTTTATTTCTTCATGATTTTCTTTGTGTGACTGTTTTCTGCACATCATGGAAACTGTTAGGTAATGTTCTCCGCTGTGATGTGACGGGGAAAGTTTTAATGAAATGTTTCCTTTCGGGAATGCCTGATTTGAAGTTGGGGTTGAATGATAAACTTGGTCTTGAGAAGGAATCTGAAATGAAATCTCGTCCAGCTAAGAGGTGGGTTTTGTTAAAGCAGTGATTCACACTAGCTACCGATTTTTCTCTGTTCTTCTCACCTGGGCTCACTCTTGTTGTGCAGTGGTAAAACCATTGAGCTTGATGATGTCACATTTCACCAGTGTGTGAACCTAACAAGATTCAACTCTGAGAAGACCGTTAGCTTTGTACCACCGGATGGTGAATTTGAACTGATGAAGTAAGTGTTGGAATGTTCACTATTGCATATTGTTCTAACACTAAAGTGTATTGACTTGATGATGTCTTAGGTATCGAATAACAGAGGGTGTGAATCTGCCTTTCCGCGTATTACCAACAATCAAAGAGCTTGGTCGTACACGAATGGAAGTAAATGTCAAGGTAAGTTAGCTTAACTTCAAAAACATTAACACGACAAAAGCAGCTTGACTTCTGCTTTCTTATAATCTTCTCTCGTGTTTTGTTGTTTCAGGTGAAAAGTGTGTTTGGTGCTAAAATGTTTGCTCTCGGGGTCGTAGTTAAAATTCCAGTGCCAAAACAAACAGCAAAGACGAACTTCCAAGTGACAACTGGTCGCGCTAAGTACAATCCATCAATCGATTGCTTGGTTTGGAAGTGAGCTTTCTATACACTCCTAAGAACCATCCTCTAACTCTATTGGTTGGTGTTTTATCAATAATTTGTCTTCTCTCTTCAGGATAAGAAAATTTCCAGGACAGACAGAGTCCACACTAAGTGCAGAAATTGAGTTAATCTCAACAATGGGAGAAAAGAAATCTTGGACAAGGCCACCAATCCAAATGGAGTTTCAGGTTAATTTTCTTCTCTAGTTGGCACTTCTAAATAGAACCAGATTGTTAAGGGTGGTTGTTTGTTAACTGTCTCAGCTTCGTTTTAATAACAGGTGCCAATGTTCACAGCATCTGGTTTGCGAGTTCGTTTCCTCAAGGTACGCTTTTCATATCCATGCCTTCTGAAGACCAAAAAAAGGTCATGCTAATATATGAAGCATTATGATCTTTATGTTATTTGTATTTGCTTCTGGTCTAAAAATGATCACTGTAATGGTTAGCTCTTAAAAAAACTTCACTCTTTCCTTGGATTTGAACAGTAACTGGATTGTTTTGTAGGTGTGGGAGAAGAGTGGTTACAACACGGTGGAGTGGGTTAGATACATAACCAAAGCGGGATCTTATGAGATCAGATGCTGAACTTAAGATCACAGTTCAGGTTCAGTGACTTAAGACTTAGGCTCATGGCTTTTAGCTTTTGCGCCTTTAGCACATGAAACAGAGTTGAAAATATTTTGTGTGTTTTTTTGTCCATTAGCGATATTCGTGTGTTAATATGATTTCTTATGTCCTGGTATTGGATTTGTTTTCATTTCTTTGTTTGTGGGTTATCTGCGACTTTTGATTAATTTGGTGTCATCGAACCTGATAGTCTTTGTGAAGCAGTCGGATTTTTTATTATTATTATTTTACAAAACGTTTGATGGGTACTTTACGTGCTTTTGATCATCTAATAGTATATTTTATTATGAAAAATTGTTATTATGAAAAATTGTTAACTAATTACCAAACATACTAAGTAGTATATCAAACTCTTATAACATGTCCTTCAAGTTTTTCTTATTTTCAGTTTTATATAAATTTAAAATTTGTAATAGAAAGGCTGACCGGTTTGATTTCTCAACACGCAATGCAAGTAAAAAAGAAGAGGTACTTTAGAGTACCTTAAATGAGACAGAATCTGAACAATGCTCTTCTTCATCATCATCATCATAATCCTCAAGTGCTGTCGGCTCTACTCGATCCTCTGGCCTCTTGAGCAACCACACAAGAAGCTCAGAACACGAGACTATAGAGACGACCGCAACTGCATTCTGACTTTTATTAAATTTATTGGCTCGAGCTGTTGTGGACATTTGTTTTGATTTATACATTTATTTGTGTTACAACTTATAACCATTTGATTATAGGACTTATTTGCCGAATAACAAAAGAAAAGTATATTTTTAGAGAGATAGTAAAGAGAGATAGGAAGATGAACTAGGAGAAAGTGGATATTTTTAGTTAGTGAATTTATGGATTTGTGGTGTATATAGGAGCAAATTTTCCTTAAATATAAAGGAAATTGTTAGAAATAACACTTTCCAGATACCACTTTTCAACTTTAAAGTAACCAATTTTATCATTAAAATTTTAATAGGTAAAATATTATTATACCCTTAACTAACTAAACTTAACAATTTTAATAAGGTATTGATAGATTAGGGTTTAGAGTTTAGAATTTAGGGTTTAAGGTTAAGAATTTAGGATTTATGGTTAAAAAATTAGGGTTTAGAGTTTAGGGTTTAGGATTTAGAATTTAGGGTTTAGGGTTTAGGATTTTGAATTTAGGGTTTAGGGTTTAGAATTTAGGGTTTAAGATTTCGAATTTAGGGTTTAGGGTTAGGGTTAGGGTATAAGGTTTAGATTTTAGGGTATATAATTTAGGGTTTAGGGTATAGAATTTAAGCGTTTAGGGTTTAGAATTTAGGGTTGATTTTTAGGGTTTAGGTTTAGGGTTTGGGGTTTGAATTTCGAAATAGCATAATTCGAAAATAATAAAAAAAATATTTTTTTTTGTTTTTTGTGTGTTAATGAAAAGTGTATTTTTGAAAATGTTCATTTTCTGATTGTAAACATGAAAAGTGTATTTTTGAAAATGTTCATTTTCTGATGGTAAAACTGAAAAGTGGTATCACTAAAAATATTTTTTGTTTTTTGTGTGTTTTTATTTATTTTATATATATATATTAATGAACATTTTTATCTGATGGTACACTTTTATATATATATTTTTAAAAGTAATACATAAACTAAATACATAAGCATAATTTATGAATATATATGATATAATATTATTAATATAAAAGTAGAATATTATTAAACTTATTTTATGTACAAGTATTAATATATCAGATAATTAATAGTAAAATAAAAAATTTAATATATTTTTTAAAATACGGATACGAATTCGGATATCCGGAACTAAAAATTAAGATATCTGGATCCGGATTCGGTTTGCATGAATCCGAGATTTTACTATTCGGATTTGGATCCGGACACCCCTGGATATCCTAAGTTTGGAGCAGATCCGGAATGGATCCGGAGCGTTACTCGAATCAAATCTAGATCCCGGATAAAAGTCCAAGGCCTAGAGGAGAGAGAGAGTTAAATAGCTCAACTTTGAGAGGAGCAGACTTTGCACGTTACTTATTATTTATCTACTAATCAATATTTGTGACGTAATTTTTTGAAGTTTACTTATATATCACAACTGCATCATTTTTAAATAAAAATAATGCTTATATGGTTTATGGTTTAGATCAGCTCCAATATATTTAGTTATTTTTTTCTTTAAGATACAAGAACTCTATAATATAAATGGTATATATTTTTATGTATCCCAGATTTATGGAAAAGTTAAGGTTAATCTTCAAGTGGAAGTGCAATACATGAGTATACTCTTTTCTGAATATTTAAATGGGCTCAAAGAAATAGATTAATACTTGCATAACTAAATGTAGAGCTAGTAATTTCACACTGGAAAATAGCTGATCCCTGGCCTAGATTAATATGGTGACTCCTCATCGAGTGAAGCTAATGCATTATTATAAAATAGCAATCTCTAAATACATATTTAAAAGAGAGAATGTTTCATATATAATATTAACTATTTTAAAAATGTATTTAATATATGTTCAAATATCCCTGGGCGTTTCTGATATCAGTTCGGTTCGGTTCGGGTATTTCGGGTTTCGGGAAGTTCGGATAGAGGGTTACAGGATCCATTTATTACTTGACCTATTTTTGGTTCGGTTCGGTTCGAATAGTTTTGGCTTCGGTTCGGATAGTAAAAATAGAAATCAGAAAATACTTAGAAAATTTTATTCTCATTTAGCTCCGGTTCGGATTCGGGTAGTTCGGGTAAATTAGTTATTCAAGATAAAATATCAAATAATTAGAACGAGTTAGATACAAATTTCAGATATTTCAGATTACTTTGGATATTTGGATAAAATTATCCGTATACTTTCAGGTAGTTCAGATACTTTATAATTATTTAGTTATTTTCAACTATTTTTGGATACTTCTAATAGATTTTTAAATTAAAATCATATATTTGGTTATGTTATATGTATATAAAATTAATATTATTATATATTCGGGTACCCATTCAGTTCTTGGTTCGATTGGGTTATTTCGAATATATAAATATAAGAATCGTTTGGATATTTAAGGGTTTCGGTTTGGTTCTGGTTTCGAATATTTCGGTTCGGTTCCGGTTGGGTTCTTGGTTCCAATTTTTTTGCCCAGACCTAGGAGATAACATAGCATGAAATAGAAATATGATATTTTTAGAATATTAAGATGCTAGCTCGATCTGTTTGTTATCTAGTAAAAAAAAAAAAATACGCACCTTTTGCATCAGAACCAACTCTTTGGAGGTAAGAATATATGCGTGCGCCTTATCTCATTAAGCCTACTGATTAAAAGCTGATGGTATCAACACGACAACATACCTAACTTCATTTTCCATATGATGCAGTGTGACAGTCAACAAGCGAATATTTAGTGTGTGTGTGAATTTGATTGAATACTTACGAGTGAATCTATATGAAGCTCTTATGCTTCGTCGCATGGATGGACGTCCATATCCCATTCGGGTCACATGGAATATATATATACTCAAATATATAAGGCACTAGGGGTTATCACATCCTACGGGCGGGTGAGTTTACAACAAAATCATTATATATCAAAATATTTTAATTTTATAAAACATTTTAAAATTAATTTAAATTGAATATAATAAATATTTGTTTTCTAAGATCATATTATTAATTATTTACTTTTTAAAGAATATATTTATTTTGTTAACATTTGACGTTTGTTTATAATTCCTATATGTTTGGATTTTTATTTGTTATCAACTATATTTTATGACATTGCACTATTTTATTTTCAGTATTCATTTCAGTTATATTTTTAATGGAAATACGTTCTCTTTTTGCATGAAATTATGTGTAGTATTTAAATATATTTTCTTAATTGTGTGTTACAGTTTTAAGCTTGATAGTGGTATATCCGAATGTATTCTATTTGTAATTATGCGTGTGTCTCTAATAATTTTTTATTCAAAACTTTCCTTAACTAAATACTAAAATTATATTATTATTGGTTATTCTAGCATATTTTATCTTTTCGAGATTTTTTTTTCTGTTTAGTGTTAATCGAAAAAGCTATTAACATATTTTACGAAATAATTCTTATAATAATCTTAATGTTTATTATTTATTAATGTATATGTGTTTTGGCTATATTTAAAATTCTTTTGATTCTAAACTAATTTAGATTGATTAAGACATATTAACAAAATTAAATTTTGGTTTAGTTTGATCAATATTTTTTTGGCTGTAGAATATTAAATGTTTGGTTTTCTATTGAAATGGTTAAGCATAGCTTGATATTTACAGTCTAATGTATACTTATTTAACCATCAATTGTGTTTTGATATACATACAATTTTCAGTAGATCTATTGTATTTAATTTTATTTGAAGGGATATCTAGATGATCCGATCGATTGCGTAAAGCCCATTAAATTTACCATTTATAATTAAGTTATTATATAGGTATTTAGGGAAGTTTATTTCATACTTTTATTAAAAACCTTTCGGTATTATATATCTAATACAAAATATAACACATTTTTCAACATTAAACTTATTATATATTTAATCAAGCTTATTGTATACTTTTATTAAAACGTTTTTTACTATTTATTATTTATTTAAAATAAATTACTTTATATATATAACATGTTAAAATAATAGTTTACTATAACTTTAGATCAACAATTATTATTCACCAAAATTCTTTACATACATTAAAACTAACCTTGAAAATATGAAAATTAAATATGTATCTACAATTAGTCTATTTATTATATGAAATGATAATACTATTTTATATTTCTTTAAATTAACTTTATGTAAACTTAAATTATATAGAATTAAAAAATCTCTATATATGTTGATTGAGAGCCAACTCTAACATTTGCAGACTTATTTGTCTATGTTGGTTATAGTGTTTCTCTTTTTTTTTTTTCAACTATAACAAAGAACGACTTTGAATGTCAAAGTTTGCTGAAATCATAGTACTTTTGGTAATTACATAATTTTGAAAAAGGTTCAATCGTTTTTCCAACGTATGGCGTCCAGTATTTGACAGATGATAGCTTTAGTATTTCGTTTAATCTCTAATTCTTGTGTCAAGAAGATGAAACATCAATTTTTTACTGCCTAGAGAATTACAACTATTTATCTGTATCAATCATGATTAGAGAATATATTAATTAACAAAAAGACCTGAGAGGAAATAATGAGGAAAATAAAGACGAAGGTGTCCTACAAAGGAGATGCAAAAAAATATAAAAGGCAAATTTCAGTTTCTGATCACTCTTTTATCTCATTCCAACCATGTCGAAGACCATTAAGATTCACTCACAATAAACATATGTCACAGTAACAGCTATAAGCACATATTAGTAAAGTCACCAACTCAACACTGAGATCCCCATGGACATACAAAGTACATTATAATCTTCATTATCGTCCTCCACCTCACGACGTCTGTGGATCGTTAAGCACATTTGAGACAACTTACACTCAATGGTATCGTTAAACTGTAAGACCAACGCTTATTGCTTAAATAACTTGTGTTTTTGAAGGATAGTGCGACTGTACTATGACTTTGTCTGGTTGATCATTTGGTTTTTTATTTGTTCCAGTAGTGTTATATAAGCCGCTCCTCAGAAACCTGTAAAAACAAACAGCGTATGCAATAACTCTCTGATGCGTAAGATTCATGTAGTGTAAGCTAACTGAGAACAAACTTGACGATATGTAAATAGTTATGAGCCATGGCATGAAAATGTGACTGGATTCTTACCTTCTCAACTATCTGTCTCAGTTGAGCTACCCTCAAAATAACACCTCTAGCTTTCTCTGGTTTCACCAGGCCAATTCGAGCAACTATAAAAAATACCAAAATGCGAAGGTCATCATATTGATGACAGTCACAAGAAACAAAGGAATAAGAGCTAAATGAATTCCAAAGCATTTTAGATGGGACTTGTCTTTCAGAGTAGACTTTATTTTCACCTAATAACAAACGATACACACCTTTACTTTCTCTTGATCTAGATTCTCCTGATTGCCATGCTTCCCTGAAAATCAGGTTGGTTCGCAATGAGGTACAAAGTGCAGTTATTCTCAATTGGAAAAACACAAGAAAGGTTATTCAAAATTACAGTGCCATGTCATCAGCTCTTGAATTCTCCCCTCCCTTTAGCTTCTAGTTCAGGATCTGCTTGCACGCAAGGAAGTAGAACAGACAGATATATAAACACAAATTTGCAAAAATCTGACTTTGGAATTGAATTAGGCGCGGATCATTCCAATAGTCGAGAGAATTCGCCATGTCTAGAAGCTTCTCTTTCGAAAGTGAAAGGTCTCGAAGGAGATCCCATGTGTTAAAAATCTACGCGATGTCAAACAAATCCAATTACATCACTGAGAGATAATGATTATAATAGTTGATTGATATTTATTTAACTTTTATATTAATTTATAGTTTTTATGTATAATTTATATTAATAATATTATATTATTTTAGTTATATATAATTTTAGATATATTATATTTAGTCAGTTTTATCATTTAGATATATATATATATATATATATATATATATATATATATATTGGATTCTATCTACTTCTCTGAATTCAACTATAATCGTTTTTACTCTAAATATCTTAAAATTTTGATTAATTATTTTATTTAAATTTATGTTGGTTGTTATCTTAGAAATATAAGTATATCTTAGTAAGATTATGTATTTTAAGATTTTTGTGCTTAAAACGAAAAAAATAAAAACTAAAATGTATGATTCTAAATTACATACATAAGTAATAATAATTTTTTTGAAAGCTTATGAATAGATATCAATATTTACAATAATTAAATATTTTATAAATTTTAAATAATTTATGTCTTAGATTGATTGGATGGTAAACTAAAATTTATTTTAGATAATTTTAAAAATAAAGAATTCTGATTTGCTTAAGTATTTTGATTATAGTTATATTAAATTCCACAATCATAAAAACAGAAAATTAAACATCAAAAGAGTTATTAAGAAAATAGATAATTTTAACTATTAAAATATAATATATCTACCTTGTTAAATTATATAGTGTTATGATATTTTAAAAGAATTGTAGTTATTTTATCAAAAACTGTTTATTATTAAATTTATTTTTAGTATTGTTTTTAATATCTCTTAAAATATGCAGTAAAAATGTGATTGTTTTTGAGAAATTATATTATATAAGTAAAATATAATTTATATTTTTTGCTGTAACTGTAAAATATTATAATCAAATAAATATACTAATTATAATTTTTTTTGTCAATTAAACATATATCAATTTATGTTACTTAATTATTTTATGTAATCATCTAATAAAATAGATAGATATATACAAAAACTAATTACTTTGAAAATATATATTTTATTGTTTAAATTATTTTTTTAAAGAAAAAATATTTCTTTTTCTAATATCAAGATTATTTGTATGAACTTTTTTTTTATGAAAACACATTATATACAAATATTTTATTTCATCTAAGAAGATATAGATATAAAGTATAATTACTTAAAAAGTGTAATTTATGTTATTTAAAATTATATTTAAGTTAAATATTACTATTTTGTAAATTTTCCTTTTTTTATGAAACCATATTATATATATACTTATTTTTTCGTTTTTAAATAGTTTTGTAAATTTTATAAATATTTCCTTTTTATTTTATATTGTTATTTGAAAGATTTTAAAAAGAAAATAATAATATTTAAATATATTTTTATTATTAGGGATATCATAGTAATTAACCAGCGTGAGAGTTAACGTGAGCACGACACCTAAGAAAGTGACTTCTCAAATAATATCTCTATAATATTATTTGAGAAGTCAGTTTCTTAGGTGTCGCACTCACGTTAACTCTCACGCTGGTTGATTACTATGATACCCCTAATGAATTTAAATTATATTTGAATATTTTTTTTAAAATCTTCCAAATAACAATATAAAATAAAAAGGAAATATTTATAAAATTTACAAAACTATTTAAAAACGAAAAAATAAGTATATATATAATATAGTTTCATAAAAATGGAAAGTTTACAAAATAATAATATTTAACTTAAATATATTTTTAAATAACATAAATTATACTTTTTAAGTAATAAAATACTTTATATCTATATCTTCTTAGATGAAAAAAATATCTGTATATAATGTGTTTTCATAAAAAAAAAATTCATACAAATAATCTTGATATTAGGAAAAGAAATATTTTTACTTTAAAAAAATAATTTAAACAACAAAATAATTAAGTAACATAAACTGATATATGTATAATTGACAAAAAATTATAATTAGTATTATGGAAATATTATTATATTTGAATATTGTTATTTATTTTTTAAATCTTCCAAATAACAATATAAAATAAAAAGGAAATATTTATATAATTTAAAAAACTATTTAAAAACGAAAAAATAAGTATATATATAATATAGTTTCATAAAAATGGAAAGTTTACAAAATAAGAATATTTAACTTAAATATATTTTTAAATAACATAAATTATACTTTTTAAGTAATAAAATACTTTATATCTATATCTTCTTAGATGAAAAAATATTTGTATATAATGTGTTTTCATAAAAAAAAGTTCATACAAATAATCTTGATATTAGAAAAAGAAATATTTTTACTTTAAAAAAATAATTTAAACAAAATTAAGTAACATAAACTGATATATGTATAATTGACAAAAAAATTATAATTAGTATTATGGAAATATTTTTTAGTATATTTATTTGATTATAATATCTTACAATTACAGAAAAAATATAAATTATATTTTACTTATATAATATAATTTCTCAAAAACAATCACATTTTTACTGCATATTTTAAGAGATGTTAAAAAAAACTAAAAATAAATTTAATAGTAAACATCTTTTGATCAAATAACTACAATTCTTTTAAAATATCATAACACTATAATTTAACGAGGTAGATATATTATATTTTAATAGTTAAAATTATATGTTTTCTTAATACCTCTTTTGATGTTTAAATTTCTGTTTTTATGTTTGTGGAATTTAATATAGGGGGATTTGCCAAAACCAACCTAAAATTTCATTTCAACCCTAAAGGTGTACCCCTTATTGAGTCAAATGCAAAACCAACCTAAAGGGGTTTTGAAGTTACTACTAGACCCTTGTGACCAAACAAAAAAACAGACAGTTATTTTACGGTTCTGTCCTTTGCAAGTCTACACATAATAGAGAGAAGTCTACACATTTGTAGACCTTCATAGAAGTCTACTTTGTAGACGTATTCTACAGTCTACAAAGTCATTTGATCTTATAATTTAATTTTAAAAATGTATAAAAATAATTTTTGGGAAGTTTTAAAATAAATCATCAATATAAAGATTAGTATGAAATATATAAATTAAAATTTCATATAAGTGAAAAGTTTAATAGAATTTATATTGAATTGGTAACCATGTGAAAGATAATGTGTTATGGTTTCCCAACAAAATGGTATAACATGCTTTGTCTTTTAGGGTTAGATTCATATATTAGGGTTAGATATTTGATTTTAATTTT